ACACAGGTTCTTAGAGCAGGCGCTCCCTTCCCTTTTCCCTTTCTCCCTCCCCCCTCCCCCTCCCCTTTTTGCGCCTGCCACGCAGGCTACGGAGACGTTTCGGGGTCGGCCGAAGGCCTAAGCCACGAGCGACGAAGCTTGGGTCACTATAAAGACTTGACAGAAACCTGAAACGCGCGTGAAAAGTCTCTGGCACCCAGGGTAAGCAATGCGTGGATCAAACCAAAGGACCTGTTACTGACAGAAGCAGGCAGATTGTCCAGTTCTGGAGCTTTATTTGTCTGAAAAGCTTTTAACAATTTCATGGAACTCATTCGTTAGCACCAGATAATGATGATGATGATTATTAGATCAAAACTGATTTTCGAAGGTAATTGGTAATATATTTAGTATTAACACCGTGTTCCGTGTTAACAATTACTATTTTCGTACTTTAAAACATGGGATTTCTATGTGTATTTAGATGGAGAAACAATTTTGTAACAAGAAAGTTAGTCGATAACCACGGAGATAAATATACACGCTGCTTTGTGAAGTTCTGGTAAATTTTGCTGTTTTTAATAAAGGAACGACCTAGTTATAAACCCCAAAACACAGTGGAATTCAATAACCGAAATAAAAGGAGGCAGACTGATGGCCCCTTTTTACATGCTTTGGTAAGTGCCCTTTCAGAGGTAATCGTACTCTATTTCTTCTTTGCATGGAGACTTTTCCTGAGTTCGTTCCGGAGGTGCCACAGACTAAATTTTGCACCGTTAATTTTCACAAATCCTGTCACCATCTCAAGCTCGTCGCAAGTTGCATTTCGACGACTCGCCACCTTCGGATCCTGTAGAAATATCCTGAAAATCTTGCAGGGAAGAGGGATGTTTTCTTCTTGATCGAGAACAATGATCAAGCCGCGACTAGTAGATGCAGAAGTTACCTGTGGCGGATCACAATCGCTTTCATCATCCATCAAAGAGGAAGCAGTGGAAGATAAAATTCTTGGTCGGTTGTGCTGATGTGAAGAGGTCGATGTAAATGTATCAGAGGGTTGAGGCATTTCTACCTCGTCAAACCATCGACACCTTTTGTGCAGCATTTCGCACAACTCTGGGTGCTGGTTTAGGCCAGGTTCACAGGGCGAAGAAACAGCTATATGGCACTCAAGATCTTCAGGCTCTTCGATTTGATCCTTGCAATTCCAAAGCAAGTCAGCTTTGTTCCAAGTTTGTTGAACTGCTAGAATTTCTGTCTGAGTGTTCCCTCGGTCATCTTCTTTAAGGGGTGTGGAGAGAGCGTTATTAATGCCTGCCATGTCAAACAACTCCAAAGCTAGTGACGAGCGAAGCAAAATGAAGACTAAGTTTATCACGAACTTGATCTAAATGATGCAAAACATCCAAAGCGTGGAGAAAAACGCAAAAACATCTCTGCTTGATCGCAAAAACAAATATTGACAATCCAACTGGAGAGGGGGGAGGAGTGGGTGGTGAACACTCCTAACATTCAGTCTGTGTTTCTTTATCTAAATCAATTGACCAATCAATTTTCAATTCAGCCCTTACTAAGGCTTAATTCGATTTCTAGACAAAGATTCTTGTAAATGAAGTCCATTTAGCGTTGTTTTGGATCAAGTACCTATACCCCCTTATGAGGGTACCAATAGTGCATTTAAACTTTCAAAACAAGCCGGCCTCAATACTACTAATTTGTGGTAATATCCAGCTAATAGGACAATTGCACGATGACGTCATTTTACTACAACTACCAGAATCCTTCCGTTTGTTTGTTTTTTCATGTGCAAATTAAGGCAATTGTTCTTTAATCCTCAACGGGATTGACAAATTTAAATAACAAAGCAAAACCGAAATGAATTCTGGTAGTTGTAGTCAAATATCGTCATCGTGCAATTGTCCTAATAATTACTGCCAGATTACACTTCATGTGCAAAAAGTGTACTGTATTATTCCACATTGGAAGATTTTTATTGATGCCATGGCATCGTCTTTTTGCTCAGGGACGAATCATATTAGGAATCAGTT